TATATATATGTATATATACACATGTGTATATATATAAGTATATGTATTAGGTGTAGTAAAAAGAAATCCATTATTTTTGCATGAAATTGAATGGAAAAATAATGGATTTTTCTTTTTACTACACCTAATATATATATATATATACATGTATATATGTATATATACGAGGGTAAGTCAATAAGTTCTTAGAAAATCTGTCAGAGGGCACTCGCAGTATCATGTCACATTACTTTTTGATAAATAGCATCTCTCAGCTGATTACTGTCAAATTTTTGAGCCGAATTTATCGCGTGATTTTATTTTTTTTGTAGATATTAAAGCGAACAACCTTTTTTGCAAAATGGGAAAAAAAGAGTTTCGTGATCAAATATCTACATATGAAAAGTTTAATGCCGAAAGAAATCAAAGCCGAATTGGATAATGGTCATAGCATATTTGCACTAGCGTTTGTGACTGTATACAATTGAGTGAATGAATTTAAACGTGGTCATACATCCACATGTGTACCTGTTCGGAACATCCAATTGAGGCTGCTATGTCAGAAATTATCGATAAAGTCCACGATATTGTTTTTACTGAATCAAAAAATCGAAAGTGCGCGAGCTTGTTGAGGCCACAGGCTTATCACATGGCACAGTGATTTTGCGAACAATTGGGTATGAAAAAGGCAGCAAGATGGGTGTCGCGTTCGCTCACTGTGGACCATGTAATGATTTCAAAACAATATTTGGAGATGTTTCAACGTAAAAATGAATTTCTGCGTTGATTACTGTGGACGAAACAAGATCCATTACTTTACACCCAAGACGAAGAAACAAAACAATGAACTTCATCGGATGAACCAGTTTCGAAGAAGGCGAAGACCGTAAAATCGGAAAGATCGACCATAGCCATAATTTTTTTGGAATGCACGCGGTATAATTCATATCGATTAGCTTCGAAGCAAATGATCAATGGCGGTTACTACGCAGCCTTATTGGAGTTTCAACAACATTTTAAAGAAAAAATGTTCCCATTTGGCGAAGAAGAAAGTGCTCTTCTATCAAGACTATGCACGAGTTTACTCGGTACCGATGGCCAAATTCAATAAATTCCGTTACGAATTGCTTCCCCATCCAGCAGATTTAGCTCCCTGAGACTATTTCCAAACCTGAAGAAATGGTTTGGAGGAAAGATATTCACTACCGAGAGAGCAGCTCATCGCTGAAACAGAGGCTTATTTTGAAGGGTTGGATAAATCATATTATTCGGATGACTTAAAAAAATTGCAGAACCATTGGATCAAGTATCGAGTTGAAAGGAGACTATGTTGAGAAATCAAAACGAATCGATAAAAAAAAATGTGTTTTACTATGTTTTTTAAAAACTTATTGACTTGTATATATATTTATACTCTCGCACGCGCCCGCAGCTTACACATATGCACATACACAAATGTTTTCTTTTTATTCATTTTCTCTTGAAGTCACTATCTTCAATCGATATCCTTGCTGGAAAACAATTTTTTTTTAATTGGAAGTCTAATATTATTAATATTATATATGTATGAGTTTGGGCGTGTACGAGAACATAAATATATATATGCATGCGTGTGTGTGTGTGTGTGTGTGTGTGTGTGTGTGTGTGTGTGTGTGTGTATTGGGTGTCTCAGCCATCTATATACCCCTTTTATCTCAGAAACAGAGTATTTTAGAAAAAAACGTTTCAAACAAAAGTTATAGGGTTCTAAATGATCTATTTAGTGATCTGATCAGTCTGACCTTGACGTCGCTAAGATCAGGACAATGTGAAACTTTGAATTTTTAAATGGATTCCTATTTTTCAATGCATATTCTTGTAGCTCGAGAGCTTTCCAAAACACTATAATAAAATAATTTTTCAGTGTCGTTCGTACGTAATGGCGTATTTATTGATTACTTTCCAACTTTCCAACTTTCTTGTTTCTTGGAATTGATTAACTTTAATGTTATATTTTTTGTTATCTCAGAAAATTACAAGCTAAAAAACAAAAAGTAACTGACTGTAACTGAGCCGATAGAATTATTTTTATAGCAATGTTTGCGATATGATGTTCTGTGAGCATGGTGAGCGTCCTTATATTTGCTGGATAATTAATTATAATCTTAAAGTTATTTGATAAATTAGTTCTCCATATTCTATTTTACGATATTTGCTAATTTCTTCAATTGATTTCACTTGATTTCTCTCTCGAAAAAAAATCTCTTGAATGTTATTCAGGATCATGCCCTGAATAATATTTGTTAAGATCAAGGTCATTGATGATTGTTTCTCTTATTTTTATTTTTGCTCTGAAAATTCATTTTTGTGTAAAAATAAAAATAAGAGAAACAATCTCTCTCCAGTGACTTTGATCTTAACAAATGTTATCAAGGACATGATCCTGAACATTCAAGAAGTTTTAGTTTCGATCGGACACCTTGCGTAATGCTAATGCCAGGGGTATTGTAACTTTCAAGCCTTATAACTCGAAAAGTATTTCATAAAAAATTTATTTAAAGAACTGAAATAACTACGGGCAATATAGGAGTCAAGCGCAGAAGATGTCGCGCAAATAATATACTTATGAAGTGTGAAACTTTTTTATTTATTAAAATGTGCTTACATTTTTCGGCTCACTTTTGAGTCTTCCTCAAAGACAACATAACTAACATATATAAAAACTGTAAATAAAAGTTATCCTATGTACTACAAGAATATACAATGAAAAATAGAGTTCCATTTAAAATTCAAAGTGACATTGCTCTGACCTTAGTGACGCCGCCCAAAGTCAAATTAATCAGATCACTAAATAGATCATTTAGGACCCCACAACTTTTGTCTGAAATGTTTTTTTCTAAAATGCTCTATTGTCAAGATAAAAGGAGTGTACGGGTGATCTGAAACATTCGGTATATATGTGTGTGTATGTATAAATATGTAAATAGGAGATTTAACTTTATCATTGTCGATCCTAAGTTCGAATAAAATGAAAGAGGATATCTCGTCATTTATTATTGTAATTTAAATAAGAGAACTTTTTTGCCAATTATTAATACATTATACAATTGATATAAATCAAATTTAAAAATGATTCGTAAAGACGATTATATTGATAATTGAAAAGCAATAATTGATGTATTATTGTATTTTTAAGTTTTCATATTTTTCATAAAATTATTAATTTTTTGCAACAATAATGTCCTAATGAAAAATCTAATTAATAATTTAATTAACGTTTTTGTAAGTGCAATATTACTCGCATTTGACTCAGTTCGGAATTAATTAATTTCTAAATTATTGAGGCATAACTGACAGTGATTTTATAACGATGCGAATAAGGATTTTATTCATTTTATATCAATGCACCAATTTTTCCTTCAGTCTAGCGTTATTATAATAATCATTTTCGGTTTCTACGAAGAAAAATACATAAAAAAACATAGAAATAAAATAATCTCCGAGTGATCACGAAATCCAAAAATTGATATCCTCCTTTGTAGTGCATTTAACATAAAGTATAGCTTTTCAGCGCTGGCAGAAAATGTGGTATACTGCCTTTTTGTTGAATAGTTAGGAAAGAAATAATTAAATACTATCAAGAAGAACTTACCTGGTCAACAATGAAATAATCAATATGACGTGAAACACTTTTCTGGCCATTTTCGTCCGAGATATTTTAGATCTCCGGTTGGTAGACAACTAGATGGAAAAGTGGAGCTCTTTTCTCCGCGTAAGTACGTAAAGCAGATCCGGTTAGATCACGTCATATACAAGCAGATATCGTCTTATTTCGCGTGTACTGGCGATCGGCAATATTGCACAGTGCTGTTAACGTTCTATCGCGCCACATCGTTTTTCTGCACTTATATACACAGACATTCCCGGATTATCGAAGCCGTGACTATACGTACGTGATTATATGTTCGTGTTCACACGTCACTTTATACTTGACGACGCGAAAAAACGCGAAGTAAGAGAAAGAGAATCCTTGCGAAATTGTTGGATAACGTCATAAATGAGATGTTGCTGATAACAGAGAATGGCAGAGAAATCATAAGAAAAGGAAGCTATTAAAAGGAAGCTATTAGAGCAATATCGATATAAATTAAAGAATAAAACATTTTTAGTAATTATTAAAAAATAATATTAAAAATTTATACATATCATCTAAGGAAGTAAGTTTCTGCCAAATTCTATTTTAATATTGTGTATATTATATGTTGTTAACATTAACATATGTTAATTCTTTATTCTAGAACATATGTTAATTCTTATTATTCTGGTGGAATATTTAGGTTCTTTATAGACTCGCTAGAACTATGAATGCTATTTATACATATTGTTATATTTAATATAATTATTTCATAATTAAAAAAAATTCTTTTGCTTTTTTTCAATTAAAGAATGTATAAAATATTTCAACTTTTAATTGAAAATATGAATCATCAAAGGAAACTATAAAATTAAGATATAATGTTGTTTAACATATATAAATGTATGTATAGATATAACAATTGCCGAAAGTTTCCGATTCATATATAACTTTAAGATGATTTTCACGCAAGAAAAAACGTGAAAAAACTACGCGAGTAATGTAGAATTAATACGAAATATAATGTATTACATATAATGTATATTTTTTTGTATAGATGTACTAATATATGCTTTTCTTTACATAAAATATTTTATATTTTATATTTTATATTTTATTTGTATATAATAAGTGCATTATTATTTTTAAGTTAAGCAACATCGTTCTTTTATTACAGGACATAATGATAACGTTCATTTTTTTTTAGAGGTTTTTAATCATTCCGATTCGCCGCATTGATCATCTTTCCGATCAGATACGGACATTAAAAAGACACGAGGTGTCGAAATAAATCGTGTATATCAAATTTCTTCCAAATTTTGCAATCCTCGGCGATCGCAGCGCGGAAGATCGAGATGCATTGGTGAGATTTTTTGATGCTGTGGACCACAGTAATTTTGCAAGATGACGCAAGATGACGCACATACACATGTCGTTGCGTTCCTAACAAAGTCGCCGTGCTGTCATGTGCTATCATTGTTATTCGTACAGTGAGGTTTGAATCGATAGAATGTATATTACTCGTTATATCACATTACTCTTCGAGTCGCAATTACGACTAATACTTATCAGAAAATTGTTCTGTACAATTATCACAATTAGCGATTATTCATTCGAATGATCGATTCTCATGAGATTAAAGACTTATAAACGTATCATAGCAACGTATGTATGGCTCATAAAAAATTTACAAATAATGCATATAAATAAGACGTAAAATGATATAATAATTTATAAAATGCATTTATAAAGTTATTAAGGAATAAGAATGATAAATATGTATATGAAATAATAAATAATAATTACAATCTTTCCAGATGTATTACAAGTGTTATGACATGAAGTACATATTTCATGCATTTATTGTATTTAGTGCAGTCAATTCAATCTGTGCACTTCGTATGTTTTGAGTATAAATCTCACCAAGGTTATTTATTGAATTGAAGCAGGTATTTTTTGTGATGCATTCATTTAGGCTATATTCGAAGACTCTTCAAGAAAATTTACTCGATATGATATAGGGTAACTCTGGCAAATACACTGGGATTTCGGCCGCAGAAGTCAGAAAAAATAGAAGGAGTGGGGGTAATTTTTACGCAACTATTCTGTTATATGCCTTTATGTTATATTAGTATTGTGTTATTTCAATTTCTTACTGTTAATATTAATGAAATTATTGTGAGTTGAATCGATTTGTGTTAAATAGCGCCATCATAAATTATAATCTACATAAAATGATTATTGTAGGACGTGCAAAAGACTTAGTGATTATTTCATAATACGTGAGTGTAGAGGAATAGTAAAGCATGTTGTATAACAAAATACAAGTACTTTGCTCTTATATTCTTTGTTTAGTTTGTTATCCTATCTGTTTGAGATATATGGCATTTTTAACAGGCGAGATTTATGCCCAAAACATAGTGCGCAGATTGAATTCAGTGCACTAAGTACAATAAACGCATTACATGAAATATGTACCTCATGTCATAACACTTGTAATATATCTGGAAAGATTATAATTATTATTATTATTTATTATTCATATACATATTTATCGTTCTTATTCCTTAATAAAACTTTATAAACGTATTTTATAAGTTATAAATTATTGTGTCATTTTATGTCTTATTTATATGCATTATTTGTAAATTTTTTATGAGCCATACATACCCTCCCCTTTTCCTATGAGTAGTTATATATTCCACCTCTGTATACGAATATACGGTAAAAATACAAGAGTTTAAAAAAATTCATTTTTTAATACGAAATATAAATTAATTTCAGATTTCTAATATTTTTTTCATAATAGTAGACAGTATAAAGTTTTCACTGATATAGTTCGTTTACTTTAAACATAGTAAATAATATTTAATAAATTAAGTTTTTGATTGATATGGCGTATATATCGGAGTTACCCTAGTAGAGATTATTATCCTTGGAGGCCTAAAGGTCATATCTTATTTTGGAAGTTGATTATTAAAAAACTATACATAAATACAAAAAATATTTTTATATCTTTTTATATTTATTACTCTTATTTTATAGTGTTTTTCACTGGCAAAACTGCTGCGCACTCAGTGCATATTAAAGTTGTACGCTAATCTAATCGGAATGTGAAAGTGAGTTATCTCAATTATAATAATAAAATATCCAATGTATATTTTATCAAATAGCATAACAAAATGTATTGAGGATTTTGCAGTTTAATTCGTTTTTATATTTTTATTAAACGTACATCTTTACGTCGATCTGTGTATAACGCACGGCTTTAAAATGCACTGAGTGCGATCTAGCTCTGCCTAGAAAAATGCTATTAGTGTACAAAATGTGTAATAATTATATTCCTGGCAAATAAAATATACGCTACAATAAGTCTTTCGTCTGCGCGTGATAAAGGTATTCTCGATGGACAGCAGAACGGGTAGCAGCAAAATCCAAAGTATCAAAAATTTTATTTTTGATTAATTATTTTTAATTTGCATTGAATTTACTAAAGAAATACCTGTTCAATTAAAAAAATATTAAAAAATGTGAAAATAATGTGTGAAAAAAGTTCAATTTCACGTAAAAATTCAATATAAAAGTGAATTACAAAAAAAATATATAAGTTGCAAAAAATATTTCAGATATAAAGAAATATCACAGATATTTCTTTAGATAATTCAATTGACAATATTAATTAACAATATTTCAAAGCATTTGGCTTAATTTTGTTCTAATGTTTACCATGTTTTTGAAAACACTATTTTGAGAAAAACGTGAGTAAAGTTTCAATAAAAATCTCTTTTTGTCGTATTTTAAGCACATGGACGCACTGATTTCTAACCGAAACCAATATAATTTCCCTATACAGTATAGAAGATTGAAGTAATATTGTTGCAATGTAATATTGCAGATTTCAATGTAACATTGCAGAACTATTACAGAAATATAAATTAACAATACGCAAAATGTCAGTAATATGTTTGTAATATTCCACAAACATTGCAAAACTATAATTTTTTAATTGTTACAATAATAATAATATAAAAATATAAGTTTTAACAATATTTATGTGGTACAGTCTTTTAGTTTAACATAATCGTTTTAATATAATAATTAATATAATCCATTTTATATTAGATGTACAACTTTGTTTCCGCCGTTTTCCTATAGATGGCTTTAGCGGTAAGTAGTGATCGAAATAAATAGATCATAGATGTCATACAATAAACTTGGGCATCTGTCAACATAACCCCATAGAAACATTTGTCGATTTGTGCCTGCATCATAAAGTTATTTTCGATTGAAAATGTCAGTTTACGAGCCAAATTCTCGTCATTTGCGGGAGGTTTTAATTTTTTGCTTCAATATGAAGAAATCTGCGGCTGAGGCTCATCGAATGCTCTCAAATACTTATGGTGAGGCCGTTATTAGTGAAAGAACGTGTCGTGAGTGGTTTCAACGCTTCAAGAACGGTGATTTTGACGTCCAAGGTCATGCTCTGTATTTGGTGGGACCAGCTCGGCGTAGTGTATTATGAACTGTTAAAACCGACTGAAACAATCACAGGCGATCGGTATCGAACGCAATTGATGCGTTTGAGCATTGAAAGACAAACGGCCGCAATACAACGAGAGACACGATAAAGTGATTTTGCAGCATGACAATGCTCGACCCCTTTTGCGAAAGTGGTCAAGACATACTTGGAAACGTTGAAATGGGAAGTCCTACCCCACCCGCCGCATTCTCCAGACGTTGCTCCCTCTGACTATCACTTGTTTCGATCAATGACACACGGCCTGGCTGACCAGCACTTCCGGTCTTATGAAGAAGTAAAAAATTGGATCAATTCGTGGATAGCCTCAAAAGATGACCAGTTTTTTCGACGCGGAATTCGTACGCTACCCGAAAAATGGGAGAAAGTAATGGCCAGCGATGGACAATACTTTGAATCATAAATGTATAACCAGTTTTTTACAATAAAGCCTCGAATTTCGGGAAAAAAACGGCGGAAGCAAAGTTGTACACCTAATATTTAAATAAAAAATTTGATGTATTATTTGATCTATTATTTGACAGCCTATTATTTCATTAGCTAAGTTTCATATTTATTTTAAATATAAAATCAAAAGATTGTATAATATCGAGTTTGGATACAATCAATGCATCATTATCGAATAAGCAATTAAGTTGCTGAAAACGATTTATGGAAATATTAATTATATGATCGATGATGTATTTATGCCTGTGTAAACGCAAGAATAAACCAGCATTTGAACTTTATTGATAAATTTCATACCGTCATTTTTTAGTCGATTTCAATTGATTCGGATAACTTTCAAATGAAAAAGAATCACTGCAATTAACTTAATCCATGATTACCAAGCGACTGTATTATTATATTAATGTAGATAATATTTGTAATTTGTTTGGGGCACACATGCTTTATCCTTACGAATAAATTTATCCCAGAATTAATGTTATATTTATTGGAATATTTTATGATTTTATTATAAAAAAATTGCTTTTGGAAAGCACATATCACTAGAAATGCAATTTGTAGAAAAATTAAAGTTAGTGAGATATGTATAGAAATAGTTTTCATTTTAGTCTTTTAAAAAATTTATTCAAATACATTACATTGTTAGAATGTTTTGTTGCAATATAACAAAAAGCGGACATCTTAACTTTCTTGGAAATTTGCAACAATGATTCAGCAACGTATCGCAACCACCATGCAATATTGCAATATTTCAGTGAAATCATTCTGCAATCTTTCTGTGCTGTATGAGCTATATTAAAATTGTGTGTCAACGTCATCTACAATACAGATATAATTATAACGTCAAATAATGACGAAACTGTTCAGGTAAATGGAACAGTTTTACGGCGTAGAAGCACCGATTGCTTTGCACCGCTCGACATAATCAATTGTATTTTTGTTAATATTGGAAATTTCACTTTTGGATAAAAAAATTTATATTTTTAAGGACTTAACTTAATTTAAGCAAAACAAATTTCGATTTTTTGAAAACTTTAGGATAGAATAACTCCTTAAATGTTCTATAGATTTCGAAAATTTTCTCTAGAAAAGATGTTTTAGAATGTAAAAATATGAATCAGAGCAATAGAGAATTTATAAGTTTATAGCTGCTTTTCATTATATTAAAACTTAGATAATTCTCATTTCATGATGTCATGTGCATATTCAGTTGAATGCACGTTCATTTTCATTCTGACAAATGAGATTCAACTAAGTTTTTACCTATAATTTGCACAAGCTCGAGACTATATGCTTTACTGATCTGGTTAACTCATTAAAAGTAAAATTATAGACTTATGTTGTTGTGCGATGACTTTATAAGCAAGTAATGACATCAGTTATTTGAGTACAGGGTGCGTCACCAAAATCCGAACAAATCGAACAATTTCTTTAAATAAAATATTTTTAATGAAAAATTAAAATTAAATATTACAAAAAATCCTTTTACATGGCATTTGGGAGATCCCTGTAGAACATAATTATTCGATATATTCCCCATTAGCTTGAATGACAGTCTCTATTCTCGGTCTGAAGCGTTCACATGCACGTTGTAATAAAGCGATCCATGCCGACGAATGCTGCCTCAATAGCGGTTCTTAATGACGTCACATTGCCGAGACTTGTTTGTGACCCTTTCAATTAAGCTCCATATGTAGCAGTCCAAGAGATTTAAATCTGGGCTATTGGGAAGCCAGAATTTCTTGGACCAAAATATATCGACGGTATTTGAGAGCCAATTTTGAATCAAATGACTCGTATAAGCTGATGCACTATTTTGCTGAAAAACATATGGCCTTTTAGACGCTACAGTTTCCATTTATGGCTTCACTACATCCAGAACACGCAAATACACTTCTTTTTGTATTTCCCCTTTTTTAAAGAAATGAGGTGGCATGAATTACCTTTACTGGACACAAAACCTAGCACGTGAACATTGGCCGGAAATTTCGTTCTGGCAACAACAGGGATATCCTCGGGGTTGTAGGCGAGCCATCGGTTATTCCTCCGGTTGATTTTGCATTAACAGTAATAATTTTGCATCAACAGTAATAATTTTTTCATCAGAAAAGAACCTGATTCGTCCCGACGCTTCGTTTTTCAAAGAACACAAATTGTAGTGAGCAACTCGGCTTGTCCTGGCAGCCTCAGAGAGAGCATCTGTCGTATCTTTAATGTGTACGATTTGTATCGAAGATCCTCCTCGGCAATTCGACGCATTTTTGGCTCGCTTACATCAACAATCGATGTTAATTTGCGCAACGACTGCCTTGGTCATCCGAAATCAGCACTTGAGCCCTTTCAATGACTGCGGGAGTTCTCGGTATGTTCTTTCGAGTGACTCTTCCTCGCAGGCATACTGGAACCTTCATTGGACTGTTCTAAAGCCGTATATTTTGCCACAACGTTATAAATGGTTGATCTCGGGTATTCAAAGAACCGAATTATTTCTGTTGCTGAGCGCGCAGCGCAAAGGTCTTCGATGATCACGGAGCTTCGATTATACTCCGCACTTGGTTTCAATATCGCGACTATTTTGAATGTGATTTACTAAAAGCATCAGGCTTTCTCGGATGCCAACAACAACTTCTAGCGAAGGCACAATATAGTGGAAAATTTAAATTGAAATTTGTCCGGATTTTGGGGACCCTGTACATAACTTTAGTCTCATTTGTGTGAAAAATGGAAAGCAACTATTATTTTACTGCGATATTTATTCGATGATAACTATTCTTTAAACGAATACTTGAATTCGAGAAGGAAATGATACACAAATTGCCGGATAAAATATCTGAAACGTGAACGTACCTATATTGATTGTTTTAGATAATAATTAATAATTTATTTAAAATATATATAATTTTGACGACAAAAAAGAATCGGAGCATAAGTTGAATGTAAACGACGAATGATAGAAACCTGAATAAAACTTTAAGAGGCAAAAATTAAGACAAAATGTAAAAAAAGCGTACATCTTTTACATTTTATTTGTCTCATATTTGCCTTCTAGAATTTCATTTAAGAGCTATTCTATCACTTCTTCTCTTATATTCAATTTACACATTAATTTTTGAGTAAGGAACAGAACATTCAGTATTATATATATTTCAGTATTATATTATATACAGTTATTTTTTTATTGTGCGTTAGATAGATATTTTAGATAGTGATAACGAATTGTTAAATTCATTCTACAATTGCGTAAGCATATAGATATAAATGGTTGTATATTCTTCTCATATTCAATTGTAATTAGTTAATTCTTACAATCACATTGAGAGAAAAATGTCGAAGTATTATTGCGAAGCATATATTACTTACAAATTACTTTAGTTACTTTAGTTACGTTTTCTTCGATATTTATTAGTTATACAAAAATTTAATTGTTATAACAAAATATATATGTTTGTGAAATATTAATCATGAATAAAATAAAATAGATGACTTATTTATTAGGAAATTATAAAATTTTATTTCCGTATTTAAATAATTTAAATAAATATTTTTTATTGTAAATATTTCATGCAGTATTTCAGTGAAATAAATACATTTCTTATGAATCACTTTTTTTCTCAATGTATTTACAATTACACTTACGCAATTGTAGAATAGTGCTTTACCATATGACGCTCGGTCTTACTACCTTGATCAAAAAGTTCCTGGAATTCATTCAGAAAATTCAAAATACAAGTTTTATTCATCAAAAGTGATATTGTCCCCTTCAAAGTACTCCCCATCGACTGCAACGCACTTATGCCAGCGCTTGATCCAGCTCTCGAAACATTTATGGAACTCTATTGTCGGTATAACCATCAGAGCCATTTTCGATTTTTCCATTACTTCCTTTCGGCTATTAAAACGCGTTCCCCGTAATGGTTTTTTGATTCGATCGAACAGAAAAAAATCGCAGGGAGCCATCAGGTGAATTGATGGCTGTTGGATGGTATTCATTTTGTTCTTGGTCAAAAATTCACGGATAATGATGATATTGTGTAACGGTGCGTTATCATGGTGCAAAATCCACGAGTTGTTTGTCCACAAATTCTTTCTTTTTTGGCGAACTGCTTCACGCAAACGTGAACGACCAATCATGACGCCCAAATAATACTCTTTATTAACTGTCTGATCTTCTGGCAAAAATTCATGATGTACAATACCATTGTAATCCATGAAGTCGTGAGCATCGCTTTCTTTTTCGACTGAAAACGACGTGGTTTTTTTGGTCTTGGCTCATTTGAAGCTTTCCATTCACTCGCCTGATGTTTGGATTGCGTGTCGTACTCATAAACCCACATCTCGTCTCCAGTAATGATACGTTTGATGAATGTTGGGTCGGATTCAGCCTTGGAAATCATGTCTTTGGCGATGACAAATCATGACGGTCCCTTTTTTTTGAAATTCAGTTCCTTCGGGACCAACTTTGCAGCAACACGGCGCAAACCCAAACTATTAACTACAATGTCCTGAATGGATTCATAATCAATGTTTAAGTCCTTTGCCAGTTCTCGGATAGTTATAATTTGCGGTTATTGATCAACATTTCTCATACTTTCTCTTCTCATACTTGATGTTTTCGTCGGTTTTCGATGTCGACGGCCTGCCACTGCGTTCGTCATCCTCGATGGACTCACGACCACTTTTGAAGCGTTCATGCCACTCATAAACGGCTGTTTTCTTTAGAGTATCACTGCCGAAACAATTTCCCAACATTTCCAAGGTTTTCACATCATTGAATCCATTTTTAACGCAAAATTTAATACAAACTCGTTGCAAATTCAACTCCATTTTTAACTGTAAAAAATCGAAAATATGTGCAGAGGTAGATGTACTCAAGAACGGCGTAACTTTTATAAATGTCAAGCTATGGTGGGAATGTCAATGATAGATGTGGCAATCTAACCAAAAAAAAACAGAACTCAAATCAGCTGATTCAGAGCATCACCCGATGGTAATTCTGGGAACTTTTTGATCAAAGTGGTATAACGTACGCGCTGTTTTGTTTACACAAAAGCTACATTCCACTTAACGCTCGCAATGTTCTTGTTTAACATTTGATAACAATATTTGTTCTTGTTTAATTTGATAAATTACAAGGATGAAATGATTCCATGAGCGTTGTGAGCATTAAATGAAACGCAGTCTAAGTCGCGTTTATCTGTCAAGTAAAACTCAAATCGGTAATAACATTACGACACACAAAACGGTCGCTTTGTGTGTCGTAATGTTATTATTTTTCAAAACGCGATAGCGACATGTACTAGAAGAAATCCTTCCTCTATGAATATTCTGATCATGTACGATTAATAATTCTTCGCGCACAATTAATTAATTACTTAGTGTTCTGCACTTAGTGTTCTCGTAAATGTATCGACAGCTATTTATCAATGCTCGTATTTCAACAATTTAATTATTTGAGATAAAATTTTAAACAGGAGAAATTGTAAATTTTATAAATCACCCACCTGTAAATATCGCGGATAAAATGATATTTCATCGATTTGAAATTATACGCAATTGTATAATATTTAAATCGAGGAAGTAAGAATAATACATGAATCTATAATTTGGAGAAAATGTGATATATATCGCTCATTTGTAAATAAAACGTGAATTTCGCGAATTTGAAATGTTTGAAATATATTGTGAACGTATGTATTGGTATTCAAAGAGCGGAAGATCCGCACAAATACATGATAAAACACAGAGCGGATAAACGTTGCTGCAACGTGAAGTTGGATGCGATTGCGATTTATCCATTAAGTCTATTTTACAATGTGCTCTTTGTTTCTTGTTTCTTACTTTTTATCTTTTGCTTTTTCTCCTTTGCAACCGTTTTATCGAAGAAATATAATTGTATTTCTTATTACATATTTCTTGTTTCTTTCGAAGTTCGTTAACTTTTATCTCGACATAAAACAAAAATAAGACAAAGATAAGAAGCAAAAAGACCAGATGTAAAAAATAATAAAAAACAAAAAACAGGAAATAAAAACACATTGTAGAATAGGCTTTACGTCATGTTGCAGGATATCGCGAATTGCAGTTCCGTGCGCTAATATTCTTTTCGCACACTTAAAAAAAAAAAATTTTATTTCTCTTATTATTTTGTTAAATAAAAGTTTTAACTGTTATCTAATATTAACCTTCTTAATCTTAAAAACATATTATACATATATTATTATACATTATTATATATTATTA